ATGAATTTAAAAATAATCAAGTGAATTATAGAAAGTTTTGTGTTGTTATAGTTGTAATGCTTTCAGTTAACTTGAAAATAGTTTTTTAAGAAAAGAAATAAGTAAATTCCTCTTAAAAAGAAAACAATATTGCTTGATCAGTGTAAATAAGTAATGCAAATTGCTGCCTTATCATTCTATGAAGAAAGAGAATATTTAAATGGTGAATGGTTCTTTGTTTGAATTTATGTATTTCAAATTACCATCCAACAGAACGACAAAAGGAGCTATAAAAAAAAAAGAGACTGTATTGATTAACAATATAAAAAAAATAAAAAAAGGCCACATTTAGTCAGGCTGCTGTTTTTCCTTTAAAAGGATCATATCAGCTTCTCAGATAATAATGTATTTCTGAAATTTTCAAACATAAAAATCAGCACTACGTACTGAAATATTTTTCTGTATGAATCTATCAACATCTATATGTTTGTTAAAAAGCTGTACACTGTAATGTTTTATCTTAATCTTTATATTCTCCTGCTTATTACTGTTTTTCAACATGTTAAATGTAACTTGGTGCTTTCTAATAATACAGTTGCATTTAGATATAAACATAAAATTAAAGATTCCCCATTATTGAGTCATAATATTTTTCTTGAGAGAATCTCTTTGAAGTCAAAATAGAATTATATCACATTTTTAAAATAAATTCTATGAAGGAGGCCCAACTGGGGAACATTAGTCAGGAATCCAAATAAATGTATCTAATAGTGTCTGGGAATGATTGTTATGCCTTTATCTCCTTTTGTTTGTTTAGTTAAACCAGTACCAGTCAAAACTGATGGTCACTGCTTCTGTCTCCTGTGCAGTGATCTAGAACTAAGGAGCAAAAAAAAAAAAAAAAAACGCAACAGCTGCTATACGTTTAATAACCACATGAGGGCAGTATAACCTTTCTTTTCCAATCATCTCTAACTTCTTCTTACTTTCTATTCAAAATGGAAAGAAATATTAAGCTTTATTGTCTATGCTGTGGAGCTTTTCGTGCTGGTAAATAGTAAAGCTTCCTGTTTAATTTTTTAAAATCACTTTTTTTGCACTAAAATCAACAAATGGGGTTTGATACATTCATATTCCTTATCATTTGGCCAGCCACCTGTATCTTGGAGTACAGTGACACTGAACCAATGACTTAATATGGGACTAACAAAAAAAATACTACATTAAACTAAAGCATATTGTTTATTGGAGATTGGGTAAAAGTAAGCACATGTTTTTGTTTTTTTCCATTAAAATCACATCAGAGAGTTTTCTGCAATCACTTTCAGTCTATTTCATTAGGAAAGTTCAGATACAGCCTGCATGAAGATATAACAAGTATTTACTAATCTTAAATAGGTACAGTTAAAGAAAAGTCTAAGTAGTGTATGGACGTGTTGTTTGCTTGCTGTGATGTTCAAAGTTGATCTGGATGTTTTGATGCGATCTGGGCATTTTTCAGAGGATTAAGCTGGAGATAAAAGTGCAAACTAAAACCTGAATGGGTGGATGCTGCGATGTGTAGTTCAGATAAGATAAATATCAATTTTACTTACTTTACATCCCCTCTGAAAGGTATAGTCTTGCATTCTTTTCTAAGCATGCACATGTCAAAACATGTCTGCATATAAAAACAATGCAGCAGCACAAGTCTCAGTTTAGTGGAGCAAAGAAAAGAACCATTGTACCGTTATTGTTTTATTGCACAGCTAAAAATATGGACAAGATCTTGCTTCCAGTCTAAATATTGTTTGCAGTGTGGTTAGTTCTGTACATTTATTTCTGCAGTAGACACACACCAACCAGATGTGTGCAACCAGAGAGCCGTGAACAAGAGGTTGGAATAAAAATAGCAGCAGAGAGCTCTCAGTGCAGGTGAATGAAATAGCAGAAATGTTCTCAGTGAAATTTGTCAAATCTGTTTCTGTGTTTTTCCAGTTCATAGAGGAGAACTGGTAAAAAGAATTCAGAGTTTTTTAATCCAAGGAGCAAATTTCCTAAACCCCAAAGCAGAAGGCAGATACTCATGTTTAACCCCCCAACATACACACCCACTACAAGACAACAGACCTCTTATACAAGCTCCTCCCCCTCGCCACCCATCAGTATGAGTAGTGTTCTAAGTCTTCTACCACATTTAGAGCAGTGGAATAAATGTGTTGTGCTTTTCCCTCATTAGCTGTCTTTACACATCTTAAATGTCTTCATTAGCTCCCTTAGAATAAGCCATGTTCTGGTATTTCCATTGGTTTGAGGGACCAGAGGGTGGGGCAGATTTTAGGATTTTCTTTGGTCTCTCTTTAAGTCTCTAGCAGAGAAATGTTTTAAACATGCAGGTATTCAGCAGAATGCTGTGACAAAGCTCCATCTTTGGCAATCCGAAGGAGAAATTTCCATAACTGCTGTGATTATATTGAATGTCAAATAGCCTGTTTAGAAACCAGACCAAATATTTATCATGAATGCTATTTAAATATCAATTCTGTTGAGTTTTGAGTCTGTTCTCCTAAATCGGAACAATAATGCAATATACTGCTAATGCCAAGAAAAAAAGAAAAAAAAATGTAAATATTTCACTAAGGTTTTGGAAACCTCAAATTTTGTCATGAATAATCTCTATTCCAGTAAAATAACAGCATCCCAGTAACCCATGGTTCAGGTTGGATTCAGCTAACCGCTGAAAATAATATAGTTTTACTTTCTTACAAAGATTTAGCAGTGTACTAAAAAGGGCCTGTTTACCAGTCCTTCACCTGTAGGACATGGAGCTATCAAAATATAATTTAGAGGTCTTTGAGATTTTCTTTTGCTTTTTTTGACTATTTTCTTTGTTTTTTTATTGTTCTATAGGTTGACCCTTCTTTAGTTCACTTTAGTTCGATATTTTTGATAACGCCTGGTGTAAAAATCATTTTTAGCTTCAAAAGGACTGAGTAAACACTATGATTAAGAAAGCCTGGTATAAATTAATGTATTCTAACATGAACAAATTTATTTTGGTGTTTTTTATAGCAATAGCACATGACTGGGCCCCTTTAAACCTTCTAGTAATTTATTCCTATTTCTCAGTTACTCCTGCTCGGTCTGTGTTTGTGTTTCCTTCATAGTTTCCTAACTTGTTCCTGCATTTCTTTCCATTTCCATTCATATTTATTTCAGTATTAATCCCTCAGACAGAGCCACCATCCAATTAAGCTCATTCACTCCACCTGTTGCCTCGTCATCACACTCATGCTTCCCACCTGTTCCTTCTGGTATTTAAGCTCCCATTTCTCCTTCACTTCTCACTGCACTGTATTGCTTATAATCATACCTTGTCTGATTGATCTCAGTGCCTGTTTTTAACAATAACTACTTCATTCTCCTTATGACAATCTTATGTTTTTGGATTTTGATCATGCTATTCAGCTCATTGTGCTGCTCATATGCCTGTCTATCTTTATTGTCCTTCCCATATTTGATTCTTATATAAAAAGGAAAGGTATTTCACTAAAAAACATAATATAAATGAGCAAGGCTTGTGATGTTTCTGTTCTGTGATAGTGATACTAACACCTCAGTAAATATATTAAACCACAAAGATGCTTCTTGTTTACACCTATTGCTAAGTATTGATCTGGGCTTAGATATTTTTTTATATAAAGCTAGCTTCATGCAGAGTTTCACTTCCTTTACTGAAACCCGTCAGCTCTGCACCTGCAATGGGTCAGAGCTTTTAAAGTTGGTAGTTTTTAAGAGGCTAAAAAACATTTCTTAAAACTTCCTGTGCCATCCTTGAAGACAATTATATATATAAATACATAGTTATCTATATAGTCCTTCCTGTTGTTGGAATTTACACTTTTTAGGAAAGAAAGTGTAAATTCCTCTACCAGCCACAAACAAAAACACCAAGATGCTTTCAAGAAAATAACACACACGGAGTGTGTTTGCATCAGCTCTCCTCACGGAGTGTAATAAAGCCTCTTTTTATTTGCATACCACAAGTTTCGTCCCGCATCATGTGAGAGGTTGTCTTGTTACTTGTGTGTTTGTGTCGTCTGTGATGCATTCAGTTGGTTACACCCGAGGGGACAGACTGATACAAAAAAAGAAGCAAGCGGTTGTTGCTCACATCCTGTGTATTCTGCTGGGCTTTTGAACCACTAAATACACTCAAACCAACATACACGGCTGATTTAACATCATCCATTAAGGAATTTAGACATATTTTATGTTACAAAGATATTTTTTCTTGCCCTAAATTGGGTTAACCCACCTTTTTTTATCTTGTTTTCTATTTTTTTGTCAGCTGTTTGTGGTTTTTTGCCGGGATTTTTTTAGGTTTTCCCTTTTGCAGTGTGATGTATTTGTGTATCTAATTGTGTTTTCTGTGTTTTTTCTTTTTGTTTTTTTATTTACTTGTGTATAAGTTTGTTTTTTTTGGATTTTTTTTGTATTAGTTTTAGTTTTGTCTTCTGTTGGTATTGCTTTTTGTGTCATCTAATTGTGTTCTATTTCTTTCCTACTGCCCGCTGTGTTTTGTGCTTTGTGCACTAATGATCTCTTTTGCGTATGCCTTGGTCGCGTGTTTTCTGCCTTCATCGTTCTGTTTGGCGGTTTGTTACACCGGTGTTTCTCTATGGTCAGGTGACAGGGACAGCTCAGTCCGTTTTTCGTGTTCTTTGCTGCGGGTTTTGAATCAATTCACTTTGGCTCTGTAGCTCTAAAAAAATCTGTTTGCTTAGCTATATCAATCAGGTCTTTTATGTGTTTAATTTATTTTGGTTTTCAAATATTGCCAATAAAAATACACATTATTTAAAAAATACATTTTTGCATATTTTTTTGTTATCATCAGAGTTAAAACGAGTTTAAAAGATAACTGGGCAACAAATACTTCAGTAAAATACTGAAGTCAATAAATGTTGACATTAGTGATTCATTTTAAGGTTCAGATTGCTGCTCAGTGAAAGCCAAAGGCTTTGAAAATATAATCCTACCTGGAATGACCTCGAAAAGAAATTTTCCTCCTTCATCTCCGCTGGTTGGATGTTCAGAAACTTTGTTTCCTGGTAAAGGAATGACCCCCTGCAGAGAAGAAAGACAGACTCATCAGCAACATATTCCTCCTTTTTGACAACTAAAGGAAGAACTGCCCTTGAGTTTTTATTGAAAAAGTCCAACCTCAAGTCTCACAGCAGCCGGTTAAATTTGTGCACCTCCAGTAAGAGCTGCATGACTTGAATCACAGACAGAACAGTCTTTTTTTAACAACCCAGTATGGTTCTTGAGCTAAGCAGGTTTTATCTCCTATCTTGATGCGAGTGTTTTTGAAAAATGCAATTTTTTCAATCTAAATGACGAGTTTTATTTTACTGAAGTGTTCCAGGATGCTTACAGAATTTAAATAACAGTGCTTTCACATTAGTTAGTCTTCTCCTGTAACTTACTTTTAAAAAGTATGACTTGATGTAAAGAGACTGTGAACAAAAGTTGGTTTTAAAACAAAGAGCAGTCAAATATGAAGAATTGATAACTTCAAAGAAATATTATGGTTTCAATCTAAGCATTCATGGACACGTAAAGCACTAGCTTCAAAATAAGAGTGTGGCTGTGTGATGAAGTTTGAAGCTGAGTGGACCTTCAGTATACTGTAGTTTGGAAATTGACCTCCGTTTCTCTCTTTGGTCACAACATCTCACCTCCTCCTTAGTTTGAATATGTCTTTGATTTGTTTTTATTAAAGGTATAATGAAGAATGATCTTTTTCTGGGAGGATTATCAAAATAAGTGGTCCTCCTAATTGTCAATCATTCTGGTGGTAAGTTTATGTAAGGCCGTCCTATGTGCTCGTCCCCATTTTCACTTACCAGTGGTGAGTCTCATATAGTGGAGAAATTGCAAATCTCCTTTTGGAAAGTAAGCTTGTGTGATTGATGCAAACAGCAACTTTTAAACAGAGAGTGCAGGAGAAATGGACTTATGCATGCTCTCGCACATGAACAGGGTTGTGCATGTGCATTTTTTTTTAAGTGGAGAGGGCATGTCCTTTCAAAAATTCACAAAAATCCTCCTCCACTATACTTTTAATGTGTCAAAGTCTCACATCTGAATGCATTTCTGAACTACAATATTTAACAAAGGTGTTTGAGGATCCTTTCAGATTTTTAAGATGCAAAAAAATGGAATGATAAATGGTCCGTTATTGCATAGTTTAATACTACATTTAAGATCTGAGAATAGCGCCTGTTTTAGCCTTTTGCAAGATACAAAGGCGATTGAATTACATTTCCTACAGTAATTCTTTACCTTTCTTCTCCCTAAAACAAGTTACCAACTCTAAGGAATGTTCTTCAACCCTCCCCAATGCAATCTATAAGCAAGGTTTATCTTATTGATGGACACTTTCATGAAGGTCGAAATAATGCAGTCATCTTAACATATTTACCAGACCCATTATGGAAGAATCAGCAAAAATATAACTTTATTACCAACCTTAGTGCATGGGTGCAGCATCTGACTGTGATTACATTGACCTCTATTTGGGTTAATGCTAATGCAGACAAGATGTGCCTAGGTGACAACTTTAGTACTGAGGACTTACACACATTATAAAGATCTGAGAAGGAGTCAGTTTCCTTTTTAATGGGCCATAACTGTGACAACCAGGAAGTAGAAACCCTACCTGAGGCCCCAGATGAAGTGCTTAAAAGGCTGCCTGCCATAAAGACGGGACCAACATGCTCCGGAGTGTAGGAGAGTAGAGGGAGAGGACCTGTTTGATGTGCCAGCCAGGAAGAGAATCTGCAATGCTTTAAGTCCGGAATAAAAGGAGCGTTCAGGGCTGGTTTTCATTGAACGCAGATCTTTCTAGTGCTTCACGCTGAATCGATTGGAGGGGAACAGCATATAACTTCAAGGCAGCCTTTTCGTGAGGGAGACAGATTTTAAGGATGTTCGTCTTTCGTGCTTGTGCTCAAAGTAGACATTTAAGGCTGTGTGTAGCCCCTGACAAACTTCAAAACGACATCCCAACACATATTCCTTTGCTCTGTTTAAAGCCACAGTCACACTTTCCATATGCCCACTGGCCTGTTGTTTGCAACCACAGGCAGGGTAATATTTACTCACTAAACCCAGCCCAGCCCAACCCAACCGTTTCCTTTTCATTTTGTTTTTTTTGCATTTTCATGAGTTGTTAAGTAAGATGAGGTCATTTCAGGAGTCTGTTTAATGACACAGACCTCATTATCTTTTATATTCACACAAAAATAAATAAATAAATAAAATCCCAGGCACACATGCACAGGAGTCACAAGTGGATCAGAAACGTTACATAGAAAAAGGACAGAAGCAGAAACAGGGGGCTGTTTCCAACTGTGTTAGACACAAAACATATATATATATATATATATTTTTTATATTCAGGACTTTTTAAGATATGCTCACAAGATTGTCTGACCAGCAGACTCAAACTACAGCAATTATATCCCCATGAGATCTATTTTGCTAATAAAACATCTAACATTTTGATACAGTTTTCACAATTGGTTAAGGTATCTCCATTGCCTCTGCTTTGCATAGGTGAGACTACCCTCAATAGTGACATATGCAATGCTTATACCGGTATATGTTTATGTACCTAAACATTAATTGCCCTCAAATAAACCATTAATCATGAAACATAATTTCATTAATAAATATCATTGAGATTTAATGTGATAAAGTACAAAATATAGTACGGTATAAATCAGTCAAGAGGGCTCTAATTTCTTTCTTCTGAATGTAATCTGAATTTTTAGGGGTCTCAGAGTAAAGGGGCTAAATAAAATGCTTTATACACTGTTCAGACTACTGTCTACATTTTTTTTAAAATATGTTTCCTTTTCTCTTGGCCACGGTTCATAAGTAGCTGTATAGTGGCAACATATAATCAGGGTCAGAAGGTTTGAATTCTTCTGCAAAGGTACTGCAGATTCTTTCCTAAACAGTTAGTTACTTTTGATTATTTTCTTTTCTAGGAGCTGAAATGCAAAAGTCTTGCTTAATCGTTCCCTGTGATTTTTAAAACAAGCCCTGTGGAGTTAATGCATGATCTAGATGTACATTTTAGAGAGCATTTATTGTCTGAAGAATATCATCTTTCAGCATAAAGATACTAAATACAACGTGGTAGATGTTATCAAGCAAGCAAAATGTATTTGGTTCAGGTGAGCCTGGGCTGAGGGAAAGATGGAGCAGGATATTCTATCACCTGGTACCTTTTAACAGTTTCATCACAATTAGAAATTACTTATGCACAACTTTAGGCTGTTAAGGCTCGCTAGCCTTAAAAGTATTGTGGAGGATGTTCTTTTTCAGGGTGGATCATATAAATAAGTGGTCCTCCTAATAGTCAATCATTCTGGTGATATGTTTAGATAAGGCCATCCTACCTCATCCCCATTTTCCCTTACCGGTGGTGAGACTGACATAGTGGAGAAATAGCAAATCTTCTTTTGGAAAGCAAGCTTGTATGCAAACAGCGATGCAAACAGCAACTTTTAAACAGAGCGTGCACATAGGAAATGGGATTGTGCACGCTCTTGCACGCGTTTAATAGACGTTCCCTCTTGGGAGTTGGTACAGGGTTGTGCATGTGCATTTTTATTCAAAGTGGAGAGGGCTTGTCTTTGAAAAAAATCATGAAAATCCTCCACTATACCTTTAGGTCTTCTGGAGGAATTTACTTATTTGCCAATTTTAGGGTATTAAAATGATGGATTTTTTAAATATTTATTTGCTTTTCTTTATTTCAAATTTATGGATAAGATGAAAACATTTAAAGTCACAATTCTAATATATAAATAAATTACAGAAATATTAGGAAAACTTTTCATGTTGTGTCATGTTGTTATTGCTGTATATATGAAGTGATAATTTTGGGTATGATGATCTCATGTTTTATTTTTTTTGTTTGTTGTTCAGTCATTATGACTCATGACTCATCTCTCTCCATGAGTTTTAGAATTTGTTTAACAAATATAAAAAGAAATAAAAAAAACACACAATAATAAACTAAAGTTCAGAAAATCTATGTGATATTTAGCAAGGCTGGCATTTGAAAAAGCTCCATTCCCATTTTAAAAGATGTTTTAAGTTTGCTGCAGTTTTTGAGACACCACTGGAAGAATGTCATACATCATTTTACAAACTAACCACTCCGACATGTTTAATCACAAAGCACCAGCCCTTTGGGTCTCTTTGGTGATTCAGAGCAGGTGTAGAACTAAAATTTCTTGGCTAAAAAAAGAATTTCCTGCTTCCTAAAAATGCTGACAATGAAACTAGATGAGCACCAAACAACTGTCTCCACATTATTAGGTGGTGGATCACATAAACAAATGATATATCATTGCAATCAGTATAATAAAAAAAAACAATCTATGCATAATGATGTGGATATAGCCTTGATAAAATAAAGAAGAGTTATTTATTTTGGAGGTAAAACTAATGTCAGGTTGCATACAGATAAAATTCACAGCAGACCTTGGCTGTAACAAGTAATTTGTGAGATCAATAAACCTTGGTGGATTGATCAGCTCCTTTTCATCCAGTAATTACTGTTCATCTGCATGACCTTTCAGACAGTAACCTAACTCAATAGGGATCTCAGTCCTTGTTTCCTTTCTTATTTATTGTATGCAAGTATGCAGTCCATATGTTGTTTCTCATTTCACTTTTTTAAATTAGTACTCTGAGATTGATACTCTAAAAGGGTCAGTTAATCATTAAATGAGATGATGTAAACAATTTACTATGAAAACCACAAGGGATCCATCCATCCATCCATCCATCCATCCATCCATCCATCCATCCATCCATCCATCCATCCATCCATCCATCCATCCATCCATCCATCCTCTTCGGCTTATCCGGGGTCGGGTCACGGGGGTAGCAGCTTCAGTAGGGAGGCCCAGTAACCCTCTACCCAGCCACTTGGGCCAGCTACTCTGGTGGGAATCCCAAGGCGCTCCCAGGCCAGACAAGAATCATAGTCCCTCCAGCGTGTCCTGGGCCTCCCCCTGGGACTCCTCCCTATGGGACGT